AGGTAGTGATATGCACGATACCGGAGGTACCAGTGCGTGATAGCAACCTGCAAAGAGCGGTTGTCAACGCAAACCAAGAGATATGGCGGATGAGTCGAGAAAAGGGTTTTGAGGTGGTGGAAATAAACAGAGAGGTGCATAGGTGGGGTGGTTTTCAATGAGACAGAATTCACTTCGATGGGCGGCTAGGTCATGAGGTTGGCGACTTGCAGGACGCGCAGTAGCTTTTTTGGGGGGCAAGAGGGTCCTTAGGGGTGCAGGATAGCTAGTAACGAGGAAAATAACCAGGAAGACTCTTTGACAGGTGGTATGGACAGATACGATTCCAAAGTGGCACAGTATCTAAGGTAGGTAGAGTCCTGGGAAAAAATAGTCATAGCCACGAGCGCCGAGCCAATTCAGACATAGGGTATATTAACATGCAAGGTGGATGAAACAGGCTGAAGTGGGACGAGATAAAAAAAAAAACAGCTAAGGGAGGTGAAGCCGATGGTATACGGTTCTGTATAAACACTTCTTATGGACATGGAGCAACCTTTTAACAATCCGGACTACGCGTGGGAGTATTGTAATAGAACAGAAGGCAGCAGAAAGGGCATTGGTATTGGAACATTCATTCATAAAAGTACAGACTGACAAAGGGTCAAGCAGGAGTGCAAGGAACATTTATGGCCAAAAGGAAAAGTGGCAGGTCAAATGACACTCCTTGGTTTCGTGTACTTGTGGACGGGAGCAAAGGCCGGAGAGGAAAACCAGGCAATGGTGGAGTGTATATCAAAGGACATTGAGGAGTTAGAAGGAGAGTGCGAGATAATATACTAGGAGATATGAATGCGCACATAGAAGATATAGATGGGTATACCGACCCGACGGGCAAAATGATCATGGATATGTGTGAAAGGCTTGATTTGATCATTTGCAACAGTGCCGAGAAGTGTGAAGGGCAAATAACATGGGACGTAGGAAGGCTGCAGTCGACGATAGATTATGTAATGATGTCACATAGGATGAATGATAAGCTCAAGGGAATGCACATAGATGAAGGTGGCTCCAGAAGTCTGGGTAGTGATCAGCAAACGTATCAAGCTAAGTTTTGGAAGAGCAGTGAAAGTGGGAAGGAGACAAGATGAGCAACTACAGGAAAACTAAACAAATTGAGAAAGTAATCACGGAGGATAATAAAACAGTGTGAACATACACGAATCTAATTAGACTGTTCAGTTAGAGCTTGCTAAGACGCGTGACAAGTCACCCCGGAAAAGAAGACACAGACCCAAAAGTTGGTGGGATGAAGAAGTTAACGGAGCCATAGCAAAACGTCAGGAAGCCTCTAGGGAACACAAACATGCTAAGCAGCGGAGGTGAACCGACAGATGATGTTGAAAGAAAATGGGAAACCTTTCTAAGCTGTAGAAAGGATGCATCTTTTCTGATTAATGAAAAGATTAGAGGAAAGGGAGCTCAGTGGCTGGCAGAAGTTACATAAAGAAGATAGAAAGGCAGCTGCGAAATTTGGGAACCATCTAAACTCCCTAAGAAATGAGACGAGCTTAGAGCAGAGGTTCAGTTACTACCGCTCAAGGTGCTCAGCTAGAAGGATATGAAGCTATTGAATATATAAGAACAAGGGTGAGAAAAATTTTTAACAAAGTTGCTTTAAGCACCACAATAGACAAGGATGAATCAAGTGGTGCAATGGCTCCGTATTCACAACGAGAGTGGGAAAGGGCTGAGAAAAGGGTTCCTAGTAGTGCAACAACAGGCCCAGATGGCATTCCAATTATGCTGATAAAGACATTAGGTCCGAAGTCTAAGCAGGCTTTGAGAGAGGCAGTGAGCAAACTAATAATCGATGGTGACGTTCCCGATGGATGGAAGCTTAGCCGGATGAGCATGATCTATAAAGGAAATCGGGACAAAGCTGACATGAACAACTACGGTCCTATAACAGTGACATCAGTGGTCTGCAGGCTGGCGATGCAGATTATAAAAGAAAGACTGCAGGCATAGATAGAAGATGAGGGGGTTCTGGGGGAACTGCAGAATGGGTTTCGGAAACACAGGAGGTTGTAAGACAATCTGTTCTCACTCACGCAGTGCATCGAAATAGCAGAAAAGGAACACAGGCCCCTCTGGCTAGCATTCTTGGATATCAAGGGAGCGTACGATAGCGTGGTTCAAGAGGAATTGTGGGGAATACTGGATACACTAGGTGTTGAACATGTAGTCACTAATCTCTTAAAGGATATCTATAAAGGTAACATGGTAGTTATAAAGTGGGAAAACAGGTATCCAAGCCTGCAGAGGGAAAACGGGGGCTTAGGCAGGGGTGTCCCCTGTCACCCTTATTATTCATGATGTACTTACAAAGATTAGAGGCCAAATTAGAGGCAAGTGGACTGGGTTTCAACCTTTCCTTCGTCAAACAAGGAAAACTGATTGAACAGGCACTACCAGCATTGACGTACGCAGATGATATAGTGCTGATTGCCGGACAACAAGGAAGATTTGCAGAGATTGGTGGACATCTGCGGTAATAAATGATAGGTTAGATTTCAGATTCAGTAAGGAAAAATCAGCAGTCATGATTTTTAATTACAATGAAGACTGTGAGCTTAGAATACAGGAGGTCACGCTAGAGGTAACAGATAAATACCAATATCTGGGCGTATGGATAAGCAGTGGGGCCGAGTAACTAAGGGAACACGAAATATACGTAACGACTTAAGGTAACAGAAATGCAGCGGTAATGAAAAACAGGGCACTTTGAAATTACAATAGGTATGATGTTGTAAGAGGAATATAAAAGGAGTCATGGTTCGTGGTCTGTAGTTCAGCAATGTGGTCTTGTGCATGAGATCATAAGTTCAAGCAAGATCAGAAATTAAGCAACGTGGAACAGGTAGGCTTGCCTTAGGAGCTCACGGGAATACACCAAATCAGGGATCACAAGGTGAATGGGATGGACATCATTTGAGAGCAGGGAAGCTAGCAGCAAGATAAAATTTCAGAAGCGATTGAAAGAAATGGGGGAGGAGCGTTGGGCTAGTAAGGTATTCAGCTACTTGTACATGAAGAATGTCGATACAAAATGGAGGAACCGAACCAGAAAATTGACTGGTAAATACTTAGAAAACAGCAGGGGGCCAAACCAAAAAGAATTATCGGTTAAGAAGAAGGTGAAGGAAGCTGAGACTGATATGTGGAGAATGGGCATCGTTAAGAAGTCCGCACTAGAGGTATATCAAACTATTAAGCAGGAAATTGCCAATGAAAGGATCTATGATAATACTACATGTAGTTCTCTACTGTTTGAGGCCAGTACGCGTATATTACGAACCAAGACATATCGGGCGAAATACGAAGGGGTAGACACGGTATGCAGTGCGTGTGGAGAGGAAGAAGAAACTGCTGAACACTTGATAATGTTCTGTAAAGGGCTTCGCCCTATTGTTGAGGATGATGGCTCAGAGTTTTTCAAAGCAGTTGAGTTTAGGGACAGGGAGGGCAAAATATGCATTAAGCGGGTAGAATTTATAAAAAGAGGTTATCCGACTGGTGGCTAAATTCAAGGCACGAGTGAAAATTAAACACTTCACTGCAAAGTACGAATCCTGAAGCTCACTTTTTACAAGGAAAAAAAAAGTATATCTAGTTTTTGTTTTATTAAGTATTACGGCTTCGTGGCGTTAGCCACCGCCCGATCTAAAGGGTACAGCCATATCCATTTATCCATCCAGCATGATGAATGGATAATTGAATAAGGCTGTACCCTTTAGATCGGGCGGTGGCTAGCGCCACTAAGCCGTAATACTTATTGAACCAAAAACTACATTTATTTTTTTTTTTTGCTTAAACAGCGGCGCCAGAGGATGGTCTGAGCCCGCAGTCCAGCTTCACGCGTCTTCTGTGTTCGTAGGTGTTCTGTGTCTTCGCCTGACGCTGATGGTCCCTAAAGGTGTCGCCGTCTGGTGGCCACCGCAGGAAGGCATCGTCGGTAGTGCCAGCGTCTCCCATTGAAAACGCCCTGTGGTTGGCACACTACTAAAAATATGTTCTAGGCACTGTACTTTGAGCATTGAGTACAAACATACAAATGTACAGACAGACAGACTAACAGACAGACCAAACATTTTCCGTCGAAGGTCCCAAGAAAACCATCGTCTTAAAAAAAAACATGGTGCTGATTTATGTTATCCGTACTGCTATCACGAAAAGAGGCTGATCATCTTTTTAGATGAATGTAATATTTAGAATGTATCATCACCTGCAATAAACCTTTATGGTTTTCACCGTGCATGGGCGCGTGTTGGTTATTTATAATCATCTGATTGTCTCATGCGCAGTTTTTAATCTGTACTAGCTGCATTACGTGTAGCGCACGTGCGTCTTGGTTTTTTCTTTCGAACCGTGTTGCTTGCGTGTTGAATCCTGTTGTGTGCGCGCGTCCTTCAAGGCTGGGTTCACCATTCTTTCAAATGATATGCCAGCGGGTTACCGTCATGAATCTTGTGAAGCATATGCAAATACGTTACCAAAAATAAAATAAAAAAGAATGCTTCATATTTGTGGAAGCAATAAACATAACATTCAACATACGTACCGTAGTGGCACGGTAATCTGCTGCGTGTGCGATCCAAGCCGCATTAAATCGTTATTTGACGAACGCTAAACGGGTGGTCAAAACTTCCCCTGAAATTCATAATATACTGTGCATGACTTGAGATATGTACCCTCCTCGCCAAGGTTTTTTTTTTTAGTTCTTTTTGCAGTACGCATGCTCAAAAACAAAGCATTTACGAACCATTTGCCAATTCTCTTCTCTTAATCTCATATGTAATTTTTTTTTGCAGTTAGGGCTAACAGCTTTGAATTTCAGCTAATTAAGCAAAAAAGTCGCAGTAAAGAGCTTTTTCAACTTGTTTCGGTTTCCGCGCCGCTGGCACACCGCCGCCGACTCGAAACGAGCCCCACCACAGAACACCTACCGCGCCGCCGCCGGTCGGAGTCGTCTCGGCGCTCACCTCCAGGCGCTGCTCCGGTAGTGTGTCAAAAGTAGCTCTGGCCAGCCGCGTCAGTCCTCGCTACGGCTCAGCCTAGGTGCTCTGTGGCTCAGCGTACTCCCAACAGCCCACCATCGGAATGTGCTGATTCTCCATCACCTGTGTGCGTGACCGAATTGTGGAGGTGATAGCGTGGACCATAGACGACCAGCTATATGACGGGGGCCGTGAGCGGTGGTGATTCAGATCGCCGGAGCTACGTCGAGCCTCCGAGTACGTCGAAGGTGAGTGTGTGTGTACTGTAGTATATGATCTCTCATGGTATTCGCGGCATCCTGTCAGATGCGTGCTTTCAAAGATGCGCGTGCTTTCTTCAGAGGTATGAAGAATTCAGCCGGGAAATGCATCCGGAGCGCGCGGATGACTGTGGTATGCGGGTTCTTGAATAACGAAGAAAACAAGCCCTTAACTTTACACTTTCTTTCAGAATTAATGCGAGCATTACGCTTGCAGCGTTCGTGTGCCGAAAGCAAGTAAACATTTTTCCTCTGGCTGAAATTTGCTCTTCATTACTGCGCGGGCAGTCGTGATGACTGCGCGGACAAGCAGAAAATATAATACCTTGTTTCAAGTTATTTTTAGTTATCATTAATGAAGAATCGAGTGTACAGCAACACATTCATTTGTTAAAATGCACTGCACAGTGGCGCATTGCCAGAGATGTTTCGCGTGCGCGATTTGATTTTCCTGGTTCTTTGTTGTATTGGGAAGTCGTTGACTGGTTCACTCTGCCTTACACAATCTTTCATAGCAGGATGCTATTTCTGCCGAAACCATCACATGATCGCGAGAGTTGGGATTTACCGTTCACCACCTGCAGTTATTAAACAACGAGCGCCAAACCTCCATATAATTCAATGTAGCCGCCTTTAATTAGGTTTAATGTAGCCGCCTTTAATTAAATTTAATGAACACGCGGCCTGGAGACGGTCGCCTTGGTTGTCGCATTAAGGTCGGGGCAGTGTTGCTCCGATTATAAGCGCACTCAAAAATGCTACTGACACAGAAATCGGCTTTTTAATTTATTGGTTCACAGCCTCCATAGCTAAGTATTATTTATGCAAACACTACGTTTTTCTCTTCACCTGTCTTCAGTCTATAGAAGTGCCGCCTTTGAAACATGTAGACAATAAAAGCTTAATGCTCTATGCAGCAGGTTGCTGTTTTTTATTTGAAAAATAAATGGGCTCTTTTTCCAAGGTGACTTCCCAAGTAGCACAAATACGTTATAATAATGTTACTTTTATGTTCAGCTTCAATGTTGAAACAAGATTGTTAATGTCATCAAAATTAAATGTTATGCTAACGTGAATAAACGTAACAGTAATGTTATCTTGAACATGGTGTAAACATTAATAAAACATTATGATAATGTTTGCATAATGTTAAGCAAAACGTAAAAGTGACGTTACAAGTTACGCTCTTGTAACATTTATAAAATATTAAGAATTATAGTAAATTATACACACGCAACGCTGAAAACAGGCCTAATGTCAAAACTCTTTTTAAATGAAAAAACAAACTTGCAAATAATAGCTGGAGCATGTCTTCAACATGCAGTAGGGTATTCTAATTAAATTATTGATGGAACGCATGTGTGTTAGCAGCTTGTATATATATGCATGGACTGAACCAGACTGATTCGAAGCACTCTAATTAACAGTTTTAAAGACTTTCTACATTTTGCAGCTGTTTGGCAGCATTAACTAAGCTCAACTGCATGTCTTGATTGCAAACATACTTTATTGCATGATGCCCGTATATACTTTATTACCCGATGCTCATCCGAGGCTTGGCTGTGATCAATAAGCAGGCCGTGGCACTTTGTTCTGCAAAAAGAAGGAATATTTAGGAATCACTGCAGATAATAAACAAACAAAATAGCTTCAGTAACAGCATAAGCATTGCAGATGCTTTTGATAAGACAATGAAAACCATTCACCACCACTGTACAATTAATGCATGCAGCCTTGTTAGTGCTCTGCAAAGTACTTGTTCGCAGCAGCTGCTTAAAAACTCGAATTTCATCCAACCACCAATAATGATCACTGTCTGCACTGCCTTGCCATAGTGCTATCTTCCTGGTCCACATCACATTTGATAGTGCCATTGTAGTCCCTTGATAGTATATGCTATCACTTGCTGGCTGCTTGCACATGATCGCACTTCAAAATTTAAAGCTTTTGACTCCTATATCACTGAATGGAAGCAGATACCTCACAGCACTGCTGGAGCTACGCAGAGTACACTTGCAGTAGACTTGTGCAGCATACATAAATAGTTCTGGACATAACTGTTTCATTATTAATCATATACAAAGGTTTTAGCTGTGCTTCTTGCATCACACGCTACAGCTATAAGAAGTAGGTTTGGCACGTACTTTGCAAACTCTGAATTACTGTAGCCATTACCAGCTGGTAATTTCAGTTGTCTAACCAAGATGACCTACAGCAACATGGCAGCCCCCATACATCCCAGACCATCTGCTTTCATCCAAATTTGTGCTTCTTAGTGGCGTTATACCCACACAGCAAGAAATAAGCTGTATAACCTGTCATCACTTAGTCTAATCTAAACCTCAAGACAAGGCATCAGGTATCTTTGGCGTGGGAAAAATACTGTCATCTCATCTGTCATCTGCTGTACGTAATACACAAAGCTGGTGTAGCCAACGTGCCTAGTAAGACCACTATGTGCGCATACCTACTACACTGACCAAAACACATCTACCCACCTTGTAAGTTTAATTTAAAGCCAAAAAATGCAGCACAACCACTCACAGACTGCTTCACGTGAAACTGATTACCACAAGCCGTTGTTATGTGCTACATTTTTTCTTCTTTTGATTAAAATATAGAACATAGCTGAGCTTGTAATATATATATATATATCTATATATATATATATATGTCTATATATATATATATATATATGCAATAACATTTAAGTAAGACTAATTATGAAAAAAGTGTAAATAAAAAGATTACCACTTTCTCTTTCTTACAAAAAGAACACAGAAAGGCTTGTGAAAAAGTTATGCCACAAACCTAGAGGTGGCAAGGACAAAAAGAGTGATACCTCGGCTGTATCATGCATAATAATAAACATTAGGTTTTTGCTTGCCTTGGACACAGTAAGCCTTGCACTGGCAAAGCGTAACCAATCGCCAATCACGTGGCTGACCTCAGCATCTGCTGCCTTGCGTGTTGTACTACAGCAGCTGGAAATATGCATATCAACCAGGACCATTTCCTTTTCACAAACAGTAGAATAAATACTCCAGGACATTTGAAATCTGCGTCCCCTTACCAAATACAAGAAGAACAATGCAGACATCACACAAATAGTGATTGGACCTGATCGCGATTAAAATTGACTGTACCGGTGCCGCACGAGCAGTTACAATCGCAAAAAGGACCGATATAGATGAGGCTTAAGGCCGTATCAGGTGCTGACACCTCCCCCAATCGCAACGCGATCCTACTTTCAGATTGTGCTGCGCCAAACTCCATCCGCAGATTGGTTTTTATATCACCGTGTTTTCGACGTACAGGGTTGGTCAAAAGTTCTTAGGCTACCATCCCATGTATTCCTATGACAGCGGGGCCTGGGAACTGTTGACCCCTCCTGTACTTTTGCGTCAGCCACGGCGCGGTACTACGTGACATTGGTATTACATGCATGCAGTAGTTTACTTCATTGAGACTAGCAGCTTTGAAAGGCAATGAACTCATTCATGCTTACATTTATATACTATCTTACAAGTGTAAACGAAAAAGCGTGCCGGTCTCATCGTCATGATCATCTACGCTCGCCAGGGAAATAGGAGGAAACACGAGCCAAAACACGGAGGAAGACCTTTCCTTCCTCCGTGAGCCAAAAAAAAAAAGACGCTTTCATGGTTGCGGACGTGAGCCAAAACATAGAAAAATTAAGTTCTGCATTTGATTATGATTACTAGTGCTGTAACAAAAAAAAACATTTGTAAAACAAAACAGATTGTTGTCCATTATAGCAATCTTTTTGTTATCTAATTAAATTACGTTTATTTTTTTTAAAACGTTAGTAAATGTTCACTAGCGTCATCTACCCTGTTGAGCAAAAGCAGAGGTAAAAACGGGGCTGTGCCCGTGAAGTGGCTCTATGGCTGCAATTGTAAAAACTTAGATAAGCCGTAAAGCAAGCTGCACTAGAGCTGTTGGCGAAATTAGCGTCGTAAAAGATTGTAATGGTAACAAATTTTGATGTGGGGCATCGTCTCGCAACGTATGGAGTGTGTGTGCATCATCTGCAAAACTGTAGGGGACGCTGACATTCGACTGTCGCACAGTTTGGCCTTCACAGATCTTTTGAGACTCTGAGGGCTTGTTTACTGTGCTTTTGATTTGATTGCAAAAGGTAGTTGATGCGTTGATCGACGCCGACCTGTCCTACCTTACGGAATGTTTCCTGGAATGTGCTAGCTGTGTTCAGCGTGTCACAATTAAGTTACAGTTCGTGGTGCCGGCCCAGCAAGGGTAGCTAGCCCAGCTGAACAGTGTCTTTGCGCGCTGTCTTCACGCCTTACATTCATGATTCACTGAAGCGGCGAAGACGAGAATGTGTTCGTTGACCATATTTTGTTGGTCGCGATGTCATGTCTGTGCACGAATTGACTTTCGGCAGGACATTTCCTGACTAGTGTTCAGCTATTTTGACCGAGTGGGCCGACTGCATGCAGTTGTACAGCCTACGAGAAGTTTTACTCGTACACTTGCGTTACGTCTCATATATGTAGCTTCCCTGTTGCTGTTGTGGCTAAGGAGTTACGTTAGCTTAATGCTTTTCATGGGATGTCTCATCTTTGGCCATTGGCGGCATTTTATTCGGGCTGTGCTCGAGAAGAAGATGTAGAAACTAACCTCATCCTATCAACACAGTGCCTACAATCCTGACCCAGTTGCTATATTTCCATTAATTGAACACAATTACAAGGTGCACATGACAGAAACGGTGTGAAATCTGTCATTGGCTGTTGTTGAAATATTGTTACACAAGAGCAGACTGTACACAGAGAACGCACAACATGACTGCTGATGTTCAATGTTCTTACTGCTCTGTTTTCCTTTATGGACTAAAATTTGAGCAGCCAGACTGCTTTCACCATCATTTCATTATGTTTGGATTTGTTTAGTTTTAATATTAATATTATCGGGGGTTTTACGTACCAAAACCACAATATGAA